CAAATTTATAAAATGCTCAACCAGTGAGGAAATCACACAAGAGAACTTGGGGACTTCACAAAGTCAGAGAGCTTACCTAAGATCATTCAATAATTATTAGTAACTTTGGAGAAGCTCTAGAAAACAGTTTTGTATGGCAAAGGCCACAATTTTCAAAAAAGTAAAAAGTGAATTCCAGAAATGTCAATCCTAGTCAAACTCTAGAATTTTTCTAATCCAAAAAATATATCTGTAAAGAACAAAAAGGAGCATCTCACCCAGAATCACCAATATTAAGAGAAGACACCAAAGAGGTTGTTATAACCAAAATAACAACACTTTAAGAATAAAGTAAGACATTTCTCAACTATAAGCAATTGTAAACTGTAGTGACCTCCCCTAAAAGCATGATAACAGGTTTTAACCATGAGAGCAAATCTTATCTCAAAATAATCCATGTAAAATTAATCCTATTGCCTTTTTGACTGTTACCATGAAAGAAATCGACATAATCAAGTACCATCTATTGATTCAATAGCAAACACTTATTAAATAAGCATGTCAGGCGCTGTGCTAGGAGCTTACATATGACAGCTGTCTATGCCAGCGGTTCTCAACCTGTGGGTCCCGACCCCTTTTTAACAATGGAAATACACTGCGACATTAGGAAGGTTGAGAACCACTCCAGTCCTACAAGTGAGATACTCCCATGTTATAGACATTAAAATATCCTGTCAAGACTGTGATGGTTATGAAGTGAGAGTCAATTCAAAACCAGGCCAGGTGTGGTGGTTTATGCATATGACCTCAGCACTTCAGGAGGCTGAAGTGGAGGGGGATCACTTGAGGCCAGGAGTTCAAGACTAGTCTGGGCAACATAGAGAGACCTCATCTCTACAAAAAGTTAAAAAAAAAACAATTAGGCAGGCATGATGCTTGCTCCTGTAGTCCTAGCTAACTGGGAGGCTGAAGCAGGAAGATCACTTGAGCTAACTCCAGCCTGAGTGTAAGAATGAGATCCAGTTTCTTAAAAGGAAGGGGCAGGGGGAAAACCTCAAGTCTAACTTCAAAGTGTTTTCTCTTTCCACCACATCATACAGTTTCCTAATAGATCTGGGTACTGCAGAAACAGTGTATCCTGTCTTCTGCAAGCATTTGAAAAAGCATCTCATGATAGCTTTGGGGGCAAGATGGATGTGGCTAGGAGAATTGCAAAACTGGAGTATCTGTTTAAATTTTATGAAAAGATTTGTGTACACTAGGTTAATGGTCCATAGAGATCAGTCTTATGCTACTGACATATTAACTTCCATTATCATAAATATGAACAACACTCCATTATGAGGAAAGATGAGAGGACAGCTTGAGGTTCATGTAAGTCCCATGCTAAGATTCTTCATATCTAAAGAAAATCACACCTCCATCTCATGTCACTGGACTATTGAAAAAGTTGCAGCAGAGATTTATACTTGGCCATCTCTCTCCCCTTTTTTTGAGACTTTCTCAAAGACCTGGTGAGAACATTAAAAGGAACTCTACCAAATCATAGATGACAAAGTTTAAAGTAATTCATCCAGATGGTAGATTCCATGTCTTGTTTTTCTTCACATGTCCAGGACCCAACCCAGTGCCTGACCTTCCAGAGCCCAATCAGTGGGCCTAATCTGTGTTTTGGGAATTACTGAATCAAGATTTTAAAGACAGTAACAGGCTTTAACCAGTGAAGCAAATCTATCAAGGCTAACTTTAATGGATCAAGTATATCAGGAACAATAACAAAAAAAAACTCTTAATGACAAAAATCAAAGAAAAGAAAATTTGAGTAATGTAACTCCCTTTTTTTTTTTTTTTTTTTTTTGAGACAGAGCCTCAAGCTGTCCCCCTGGGTAGAGTGCCGTGGCATTACAGCTCACAGCAACCTCCAACTCCTGGGCTCAAGCGAGTCTCCTGCCTCCGCCTCCCAAGTAGAGGGACCACAGGCCGCCCGCCACAACGCCTGGCTATTTTTTGGTTGCAGCCGTCATTGTTGTTTGGCGGGTCCGGGCTGGGGATTCGAACCCGCCACCTTAGGTGTACGTGGCTGGCGCCCTAGCCGGTTGAGCTATAGGCGCGGAGCCGTAACTCCCTTTTTGGAAGGAATTAACAAGACTAAGATGTTTTAGTTGACAGTAAACTCAATTCAATATTAACCAATGTAAAAACTGCCTTCCCTCCCCCAAAGCTCATAGAATCTCTGTAACTTCAGTGTTAGAAAAGGATTCTCAATAGGAGGCAAAAGCTTCCTCTTTTCTCTTCAGTTTAAACTACATCTGGAATCGTTTCTACATCTCAAAGGAATTAGAAGGATAATGATTAAATAGTAAATATTTAGAAAAGATGTCAATAAATGAAAAAGATTTTTTTTTAAATAATGGAAAGTTTTAAAACAATGTCACTGGAGATCCAGTTAAAGGAACCAGGGCTGTTTACCCCAAGAGAAGACAAGAATTAAAGGGAATGTGATAGCCATCTTCAACTACCAGAAGGACGGTCACAAAAGACCAAGATTCAGAAGGCAGAACAAGGTACATAGAAACTACAAAGTAATGGACTTGGGCATTATACACAGTAAAACTTACTGGAAATTTGACTTGACTAAAAATGAAATAATCCACCTCAGGACATAGTGAGCTTTCCATTTTCTATTATCAGTTCATCTCACTTCTAAGATGTTAAAAAAAAAAAACCAAAAAACTGGACAATAATTTGACTGAAATATCAAACAGAAGACTGAAACACTCAACCATAAACTAAGGTTCCTGTCAGTACTACAATTCTTTGAAACATGAATGCATGAGAGTGTACTGCAAAACACAAGTATTTTACAAAGATAGGTATTTTGTTGGCAAGGAAAAAGGTAAACTCATGTTCTGAGGCATGACCTCAACTCCACTTGGAAATTAAAATGATACACGGTTGTATCTCTAAAGTCACACAAATCAAATTTCTCTGAAAAAATTAAGGAAGACGTAGTGAACTGGTATCTAACAGAAGAAGATAAGACACAGTGCTGTTACCATTCACTGGTATACAATAAAATCTTTAATTCTGTAATATAATCCAAATACTGATTGTGTGAAAGTTAACTGTTAACTTATTAAAATTAAAACTATTTAACTATTAAAATTACAACTATGTTTTTAATACTGGAGATCTACTGTAACTTCATCCTCTCCTGTGTAGGGATGTAGTGGCTTCTCGCAGGTATTTAAAAATCTCTAGCCAGCTTTAAGCTTTGAGGATGTTTTACAAATAAATGTATAATGAAAGTTTAATTTTTAAGTTGAAGGGGTTAATTATCTTTAAAAAAATTATGATCTCAAATAATAGTTTTCTCTTTTAGATCTTTGCATAAAGGAAAAATGTTAGATAGGTTTTTACCAATATCCAGAGGAAATGTGACTTAATTGCTAAAAATTCTAAGTCCAATTGAAGTTCAAATTTGAGCATGAACACCATCTACCATTGTCCTGTGACAATATGACTGCCAGCAAATTATTCAACTCAACTAAACCTGTTTCCTAACTATCTAAACTTTAGAGGCTGTGATAAGAATTAAGTGACAGAAGACAAGTAAAATAATCAGCACAGTAAGACTTCACTATGGGCAGGGCACAGCGGCTCACCCCTGTAATCCTAGCACTCTGGGAGGCCAAGGCACATGGATTGCTTGAGCTCAGGAGTTCAAGACCAGCCTGAGCAAGAGCCAGACCTTGTCTCTAAAAATAACTGAGTGTTGTGGCAGGTGCCTATAATCCCAGCTACCTCAGAGGCTGAGGTAAAAGGATCACTTGAGCCCAAGAGTTTGAGGATGCTGTGCGCTGTAACATCGTAGCACTCTATTAAGGGTAACAAAGTGACTCTGTCTCAATTAAAAAAAAAAGAAAGATATGTTTTACATAGGACTAAAAATAGAACATGAAATCAGAAACAGAGCATCTTTGTAAATTCTAGACTCAGTAGTTTAATAATAGCATCAAACATCAAATGTCACAATTAGGAGATTATGCATTCTATTAAATAGCGTCCATGGTCTTGCACACTACAATTACTAATTAAGATCTATTGTGCAAGATGGGACAGTAATAATAAAGATAGAGTGCTTACACTGGGCCAGGTGCTAAGTGCTTTTATGTATAGTTTACCCTGACAACCGTATGAGCTAGATACTACCATTATGGCCATTTTAACAGAAGCAGAATTTAACAACAGTAACTTAATCCAACATCAGACAGCTTGCTAAATGGATGGAGGTGGGACATGAACTCAGACAATCAAGCTCAAAAGTACTAGGTTTTACTAACTCTGACCAAATTGATCAACTCAGATTAATAGTATAAATTTCTTCTAACCTATGCAAAATGATTTCTATGGGACAGCAAGGAGACTACAACTCTCTCAAAGGTCTAGCTTCATTCTCAATCAGTGATTACAATTTAACACCTTTCTAATGTAACTGCAGAAGAAAACCGGCCTTTTTCTACAGGTAAAGAAAATGAATAGCACAGTAGCAGCTAAATTTGTAGTTTGGGGGCCAGGCGCTGACGGGTATTCACAGGACGTCGCGCCCTGGGTCAACCGACCTCGCAGCCTGAGGGACCCACAAGTCGACCCACTCAGGCTGCGATGAAACCGCGTAGCCCGCACCAGCAAGCGGTCATTTAAAAAATCTCCTACAGATGGTTGTTTTGGCATCCCTGTTACTCTAACACAGGACAAAATGGAACTTGCATAAACACTTAGTCATCAGTAAGCGCTGAAGTTACAAATTACATAGCTCGCAAATTCAAATCCTCAGCTAAGTTCCTAGTTCCGAGGGGAAAAAAACGGGTAACACCCAGAGACAGCAGGGTTGACACCTGGGGCCCAAGCGGAAGCGCATCAAAAGGGAAACACTGGCCCACGGATGGGACTCCACGCCGTGCGCAGCCACCACAAGGAGCACTGGGGACTTCTCAGGGCCCATCCACTTCCCTCCCAACAGCCTGTCCCTGCGGCGACAGGCTGCCCCGGCCCGGCGAGTCTCCAGGGTGAATTTGGAACGGCGATCCGAAGGCGGAGGTGACAGGCCTGAGAGCCGCCGTCCAGATCCCGGGGCCGGGCCACCAAGTCCCCACAGCCCGCAGGAGCAGGGACTCGGAGGCGCCACCTCCCGCTCCCGGAGCCCGCACCTGCAGAGTGGTGATGTGCTTGTCGTTAAACTTGTTCTCGCAGTAGCGCAGCACCAGCGACGTCTTCCCGACGCAGCCTTCGCCCAGCAACACCACCTTGAACGAGTAGGCTCTGCCTGCCGCCGCCCCGCCGCCGCCAGCCGCAGCCATCCCGCCGCCTCCCCGCCGCTCGCGCCCGAGAGTCGCGCCGCGCTCCCCACAGAAGCGGCCGGCTCAGCCCCCTGCGCCCCGGCCGCGCCGCCCCGGCCGTCGTCTCCACTCCTTCCGGGCGAGATCTGAAAGGGCCGAGGGAAAGTCCGAGAATGAAGGGCCCGAGACACCACGTCAGGCACCAGAGGAAAGGCGAAGAGCGATCCCTCTCCGCCTCCCCTTAATGGCGTCTCCTTCCTCCTACGTCACACTTCGGGTCACGTGACCGCCGCGGCCTGGGCGGCCCCTGGGACTCGGCCCAGAACGAGCCCGGACGTGGGCGGGGCTTCTGCGGCTGGGTGCCGGGTGGGGCGGACGTGGGCGGGGCTTCTGCGGCCGGGTGCCTGGTGGGGCGGATGTGAGCTGGGCGAGCACCCGCAGCAAGGAGCCGGGCCGGGCAGCGCCGCCAGCGGGAGGCTAAGGGAGTTAGGATCCGGTCATTGGAGACAAGCCCAGATCAGATGAAATGAAACGCAGAACGCTGTCGTTCTTGCGCAGGGGATATCGACAAGGCTAAGGACCTCGCACCCCAGGCGTCACTGCAAGCCACATCTGCCAACATGCCCTTGAATCGCTTTCCCGGCGAGAGTCCGAGTCATAGTTACGGAACCCGTTTCAGTTTCCCGGACCGCCTTATCTTCTGCTCTTTCAGGTCTCAGTTTAAACCGGAAGGGCTTCCAAGACCACGCAATCCTCCCCGCTTCTCTCTATCCCTCCCACATCCCTCCACGCCCCACCAAGTTGGGTATTTGGTAACAGCAGTCTACCTTATCATTGCTTACCGCACTTCGTGAAAATTACTTTGCCAAGTATTTCTCTCCTCCTTGGGCTGTAGATTGTTGAGGGCAAGGTCTGTTTATGATCTGCCCACCTTTGAATGCCTAACTTCCAGTGCCAGGCACTTAATAGATACCCTCTAAATATTTGAGAATGGATGGATGTTGAATCCTCTTTCGGTCTGCCGCGAAGTTTGTGACATTCAGTGTTAACTCCACCTGGATGAGCGTCACTTGACTGATGATTGCTTATGTTTCCTCATCTACTTCTTTCTTTCATGAAATACACTCTTCCAAGAAACTGTACGGGTATTTCGAAATTTTGCTGCTGGAAATCTGGTGTCAGTTAGGCACACATACTTCTTTCCATCAGACTTGTTTAACACTTCAAACCAGTTTAAAAAAACAAAATCCATTCAACAGATACTTGAATGTGCCCATTAATATGCCAGACATGGGCTGGAAAAGATACAATGTCTGAAGGTAGACCGAGTCAATTGTACAATGAATACTTCATTTTGATGAAACAGTTCAGGGTATTTTGCAAGAATATACTGACTGGTTTAGCCTGCTAGAGAAGACTTCCTGAAGAAAGTTAACTTTGGGTCTGAGTAACCTAGGAAAAAGGAGAGGACAGCTTTGCAAGCAGCGCAGCAAGTCAATAGCTTGAGGTAGAAAGGAGCATGTCAAGTTGAGCAATTGAAACGGTGACAAGAATGCAGAGAAAAGAGGAATTCCAAAAGACACATAAAGGAAGCCAAAGGTAAACAGTGAACAGACCTTCAAGCAAAGGAAAGCTTTTAATCAAGGGAACTGACACAATCATATTTTACTTTGCTTATTTTTTTTAATTTCCTTTTTTTAAAAAACAGGATCTTGCTCTGTCATCCAGACTGGAGTGCAGTGGTGTTAGTATAGCTCACTGCAGCTTCAAACTTCTGGGCTCAAGCCACTCCCCTCTCTCCAGTAGCTAGAACTACAGATGTCAGCCACCACATCTAGCCAGTTTTTCTATTAGGTTATTAAGTATGAATTGTCTGATTTCCTTAAATACTAAGTTTGACAGTTGATACTTCTGACATTTCACTTTGAGACTTCTTGTTTGTTTTTCATTGTGAAGATACTTCCTCATTATTTTAAACGTACGTTTGAATTGTGATTATCTTTCAAAAATTTTTAGAGCAGTTTTTTGTAAAACCTTGGATAACTCAAATGTCATTTTTGATGATGAGTTGCATCCTGGAACCAGTGGAGCACAGACAGCTCAAAATATCAAGGAAGTGATTGGAAAGAATGTGGCTAATGAATGTACAGTAGCTGATGGTTTGAGAAGCTCCATTCTGGTGATTTTAATCTTGAAAATGAGCCTTGTGGGCCAGGCATGGTAGCTCATGCCTGTAATCCTAGCACTCTGGGAGGCTGAGATGGGTGGATTGCTTGAGCTCAGGAGTTCCAGACCAGCCTGAGCAAGACCAAGACTTCATCTCCACTAAAATTAGAAAAACTAGCTAGGCATTGTGGTGAGTGCCTGTAGTCCCAGCTCCTTGGGATGCTGAGGCAGAAGAATCTCCTGAGCCCAGGAGTTTGAGGTTGCTGTGAGCTAGCCTAAGGCCATAGCACTGTAGCCCAGACAACCGTAAGACTCTGTCTCAGAAAAAAAAAAAGAAAAAAAGAAAGAAAAGAAAAGAAAGAAAATAAATGAGATATGTGGGAGACCTGAGACCAAGGTGGATAATGATGAGCTAAAAGCTATAGTGGAAGTGAATCCATCTCTGGCTCGGAGCCTGTAAGCACAGGGGTTACTGCACCAGCCACATACACCGAGGCTGGCGGGTTCAAAATCGCCCAGGCCAGCTAAGCAACAATGACAATTGCAACAAAAAATAGCTGGGCGTTGTGGTGGGTGCCTGTAATCCCAGCTACTTGGGAAATTGAGGCAAGAGAATCACTTAAGCCCAAGAGTTTGAGGTTGCTGTGAGCTCTGACACCACGGCACTCTACCCAAGGCAACATAGTGAGACTCTATCTCAAAAAAAAAAAAAGGTGGCACCTATAGGTCAAAGGGGTAGGGCACTGGCCCCATATGCTGGAGGTGGCAGGTTCAAACCCAGCCCCAGCCAAAAACTGCAAAAAAAATTAAATTAAAAAAAATAAAGAAGTGAATCCATCTCAACCTATGTGTGGATTAGCAACAAGGTTTGACATTACTATTTCAATAATATTGGACCTTATGAAACAACTCAGCAAGGTAAAGAAGTGGGATGTATGGGTTCTCAGTGAATTAAATGAGCCTACTAAGAGAAACATCTTGAAGTTTGCTTTCCTTTACCATCGCATATAAAGGTGAACCATTTCTACGCCATAATGTTATGTGTGATGACAATCTCAACTGTTCAGCATAATGATTGCATAAAGATGAAGTCCCAAAACACAGTCCAAAACCCAACATGCCCCCCACAAAAAAGAATGGTATCTGTTTGGTGGTCCAGCACCAGTATTATCCAGTACAGCTTCATGAAACCCGGTCAATTGATTACTGTGGACACCTACTGCAACAACAGGAAGACATGATGAGGATGCTTGTAATTGAGCCCCAAGATTGGTCAATAGAGCCAGGTCAGTCCCCTTGTGGGACAGCACTGTCACACAAACAATGCTGCATGAACTACAGAGCTGGACTTGGAAACTGTCATCCACCCAGTTCACCAGACTTGCACCAACTGACTACCCTTTCTTCCAGGCTTTAGACCATTTCTTAAAGGGAAAAACATACAACTCTCAGCAAGCTGTGGAAAATGCCATTTGTGATTTCAGGTTTCTTTCTGCTGGCACACATAGCTACTATTAAGATAGCAAAACTGGGTCAGTAGTTCAGGTGCATACTTTGATTCATTGTACTGTTTCTTGTTTGAGATATAATAAACTGAACTTATGATTCAAAGTTAGAAATTTCATATTTAATGATCTAATATTTTTGTGGGAGGTGGGGCAAGTCTTGCTATTGCCCAGGCTGATCTCAGACTCCCAGCCTCAAGTGATCCTCCTGCCTCAGCCTCCCAAAGTGCTAGGATTACAGTCACACACCACTGCAACTGGCCAAATTTGACTTTTAATTATTTTTTATATGAGGGTACAAACAACTAAATTACAATGTTTGCATTTGTTAGGTAGAGTCCCTCTGTATTTGTGTTTCACACCTAAGAAGTGTGCCTCATACCCTTATATTGTGCCCCTAAGTGAAATGGACTTTTTAAAAGATCACTCCAGGCTGGGCATCATGGCTTACTCCTATAATCCTAGCACTCCCAGGACTTTGGGAGGCTGAGACAGGAGGATCACTTGAGACCAGGAGTTGGAGACCAAACTGAGCAACACAGCTAGATCTAGTCTCTACAAAAAATAAAAATTAGCTGAACATGGTAGCATGCACCTGTGGTCCTAGCTACTCAGAAGGCTGAGGTAGGAGGATCAGTTGAGCTCAGTATTTTCAGGTTGCAGTGAGCTGTGATGCCTGCACTCCAGCCTGTGCAACAGAGTGAGACTTTGTTTCAAAAACCAAAACAGCAACAACAACAAAATCACTCTGGTTGTAGAGTAACTTAGATTTATTTAGAATCAACCATTTAAGAGACTCTGTGTTTTATTTATTTATTTATTTGAGACTGATTCTCACTCTGTTGCCCTCAGTAGAGTGATATGGCATTATCATAGCTCACGGAACCTCAAAACTCTTGGGCTTAAGCAATCTTCTTGCCTCAGTTTTTCTATTTTATTTATTTATTTTTTTGAGACAGTGTCTCGATATGTCACCCTGGGTAGAGTACTGTGGCGTCGCAGCTCACAGCAGGCTCAAACTCTTGGGCTTAAGCGATTCTCTTGCCTCATCCTCCCAAGTAGCTGGGACTACAAGCACCCCCCATGATGCCTGGCTGTTTTTTGTTGCAATTGTGATTGTTATTTAGCTGGCCCGGGCTGGGTTCAAACCTGCCAGCCTTGATCGGTGTATGTGGCTGGTTCCCAAACCACTGAGCGATGGACAACAAGCCAATTTTTCTGTTTTTAGTAGAGACAGGATCTCACTCTTGATCAAGCTGGTCTCAAACTCTTGAGCTCAAACAATCCACCCACCTCGACCTCCCAGAGTGCTAGGATTACAGGCATGAACCACCACACTGGGCCTGAGACTCTGTGTTTTATAAAACATCCTCATGGGGCAGGGGTATTTGGCACACCTTTTTTGTGTGGGACATAACCACAAGAGGGACTCTACCTAACAAAATCAAATATTTTGACCTGGTTGTTTGTACCCTCACATTAGCCTTAAATAAATTTACTTTAAAAAAAATCCCCAAAGACCAAAAATCACTTTATAACAAAGATATTTTCACCAGAATGCTTATTGCAGCCCAATTCA